CAAGCAGGCACTGACGCTCTTCAATAAAGGACACTCATATCACCATTGGCGTCTTAAAGAGAAAGTCACCGCAACGGTTTTTGGAGCTAAGAGGTTAGCAATTACTGGGGAATAACTAGAAGTTATTGTGTTTGGCAAATTAGATTATTCAATTATGTTAGGAAGTCTGGAACAATGTTTATTTTCTATCATTTTGAAAATAAGTTGAGCTTTAATGTTTGAATTAAGTGCGTTTGATTATAGTAGCTGTTCCGTATATTAGTATGAAAGTAAAAAATTGTTATATATTCATATCAAATCTTCTCTCATCAAGTGTTTCCTTGGTTCATCTTCAGAGATGTTGAAAACACATTTGGGTGACAGCCATAATTACTCAGGTCAGATCACAAGGTAATGATATTGCTACACCCATGGTTTACACTCTTGTGAAAGCAGATACAAGGTAGTGAGTCAAGCATAAATGTAAGGTGCTCATATCATGATATTGTTAAACCCTAACCAACACCTATGGCAGTGGAATTAGCATTAAACTGTTTCTATCACGTGGAACCAATCTACAACATTAGTGTTACAATGGATGGCCCATTTAGTATCTAGACTGTGATCTGCACTGTTATTGTTCTCATCATGGTGGAGGAGTGGAACTCTTCCTATTTTAAGCCACCAGCATCAGCATTAAACGTTCCCACATGTCAGGTATAAGCAAGCAGATATAAAGGTCCATTTAATTTCCCCTGACCATATACTTCAGCCCCAAACTGAGGTGAGCTAGTGATGCACCACCTTTGACATTAATTTTTTCTGCACCTCCCATAGCAGATATCCGGTTACCCCTGAATGAGATTGTGCTAATTACTACCTGAATTAGGCAGTGTCGTTGTGTCAACCCATTACACCCATACCATTACAACATTCATCGCATCAGCCAGGTCCCAAAATGAAAACCTCAGCATTGGCTGTCATTGTGGTTGCACTGTAGCTCCAAGAAGCTGGTTGTACTATCTTTGCTGCCTCTCAAAGTCAAACATAAATCATATTCCGTACCTGCTGTTCTGGCATGTCAGTGGAAAAATTCCTTCCTATTGTGATAGACATAAGATTATTGATAAATACACAAATGGTTATAAAGATATAGCCAATGATGCTTTGTATTGTGGAAAAAAATAGTAATTTGCTAAAGTTTTGGCTGCTACAGGTGCCTGTTGAAGCATGGACAGGACCATGAGTAAGCAAATGCTGTTTCTGTGGCCTCCTTAACACAGTAGTCGAAAATTATTTTCTGGTCTCATTGAAATTGCCTGTTTCTCCTGTTGGCTTCTGCAGGCCTGTCACGCCCTGTTTGCCATTGTTACGAAAACTTGCATCCAGCTGCAAGGTTTCATTATTGTTACCACAGTACAGGTACCATATTTGAGATACAGTCATCTTTCAAACTGAGTTTCAAATGGACAGTGGCAGGGAATAGGCAATGCCTGCAATGAAGAAAAAGTACTTGACTGAGAAAATCCATGTACTTAATCACTGTGAAGAAAGAAAACTGCTTTTATATAATGCCTTTCATGAACATCCTAGAGGACTTTACAGCTAATGTAAACTCCGCTTGAAGTGTTGTTGCTCTGTAATGTGGAACACAGGGTAATCAGTTGGTACAGAATATGGCCCCACAAGAAGCAATGAAAGTAATAGCCAGATTGTGTTAAAGTGTTGGCTCAGGCGCGAATGTTAATCAAGACACCAGGCAAATTTTCCTGCTGTTCTTTGAACAGTTCAATAAGATCTTTTTCATCCACCCATGAAAGCAGAGGAGAACTGATCTCATTCTCATTTAATAAGAATTTAATATTTGATATGTAGGATGGCAAATCTATGGCAATCTTTCATTGTCTCAATACTGCACTGTAATTCCAAGCTAGATTCTGTGCTTAGGTTCTCAAGAGGGCTTGAACCCAGAGCCTGCAAATATAGGGAAAAAGTCATACTCCGAGTCATTAGTGACGCCACCTGAAATAAATGTCTACTAACCTAAGTCTGAGAGGTTTCCTCCATTGTGCAGATGAAATTCATCTGTCAAAGAAGGTTAATCACCCCCATTGAGAATCTGGGGTGCAGTGGTAGTGTCTTTATCTCTGAACTAGGAGACCTGGGTTCAAATCCCACCTGCTCCAGAGATGTGTCCTAACATCTCCAAACAGGTTGATTGGAATATATCTGAACATCCCCATTCCTTCATAAATAACAACTGGCCAAAAAAATGACAAGTTTGAAGCTGAATGTTCCCATGATTTAGTGGCAGTCATTAATTACAGTGGAAAAAAGAATCCTCACTTTTGTTAGGATTGGAATTTCAACTTTTTACTGTGCTGTGTTGAATAGCTGTGAAAGAATAGCAGTAACATCTAATTTACAGGTTTGGTGTTCAGTTTGCTGGTGGGATAATGTCAACATCATTTGGCTAATCATAATTACAACAGAAAGGGGCACCAACAACAGAATTGCACTTTAATTACAACATATAAGAAGACTGTTTGGTATTGTATTGGTATTTTGTGTGTCTTTAATGTTCCATTGTGCTTGGTATGATTAGAGCCAGGAGAGAGTTTTCTCCCTGAGTTGCATCGACTCCAGTTTTGATCAGGTTCCTTGATGCCATAATTTGTCAAATGTTGTCTTGATGTCACTCTCACCTCACCTCTGGAGTTCAGCTCTTTTGACAACATTTAGACTGAAAATAAAAGAACCCAAACTGAGCATTGGCAAGCAGGTTATTCCTTTGCTAGTACTGCTTGATAGCATTGTTGATGACCCCTTTCCAACATTTTGCTGTTGATTGAGAGTCGAATGATGCAATGGTAACTGGCCAACATGGATATGTCTTTTCTGTGCACAGGACATACCAGGGCAGCATTTCACATTTCTGAGGAAGTGTCACCGGACCCAAAACGTTAACTCTGATTTCTCTCCACAGACCCTGCCAGAGCTGCTGAGCTTTTCCAACTATTTCTGTTTTTGTTTCAGTAATTCACAATGTAGGGAAGATGTCAATGTTGTGGATGTGTTGGTTTGGCTAGGGGCATGGTTAGTTCTGGAGCATGTCTTCAATACTATTACTGGAATAGTAACAGAAGCCACAGCCTTTACAGTATCCAGTGCCTTCAGCCATTGCTTGATATCATGTGGATTGAGTCAAATTGCCTGAAGGTTAGCATCTGAGATGCTGGTGACCTTGGGTGGAGGTCAAGTTGGATTACCTACTTGTCACTCTTCTGACTGAGGATGGATGGTATTGATAGTGATGAAACTATTCTCAACTATTGTAAAACACATCTAGATCACTATTGTTCTTTTAGAGAATAAAACTGACATCCTTTCAGGTATGGCCTGCCTGTGATTCCAAAACCAATTTAGTTGTCTCTTAAACCATTGAAATTGTTTAACAAACTAATCAGTTCAAAGGCAATGAGGGATGGACAACAAACATTGCCTTGCCAGCGATGCCACATCTCATCAAATAATTTTTAAAAGTAAACTTCAATTATCTAAATAATTTAATTATAAATTCCAGATAATGTGAAATTTCCAGCACATAACATTGCTGTTTCCTAGATCCAAATTTTATTTTGCACATTTTATGAGAGAAAAAATGCACAACAGGGAATTCTTGCAAGTATTGAGTTTATGATTGGGGTCAATTAGCTGAGTTGGCTGGATAGTTGGTCTGTAATACAGAATGATGCCAACAATGTAGGTTCAATTCCCACACTGTCTGAGGTTACCACATGCAATCTTCTAAACCTCTCCCCTCATCTGAGGCATGGTGACACTTAGGGTAATCTACTACCAGCCATCTCCCTCTAATGAGAGAGTTGGATGGTGGCAACTTTACCCTTATCTTGAATTCATGGTACATGATTCAACAGTTTCTTAATTTTACAAGAACTTACTTTATGATTATTCTGAATTTCAGTCCACTTTCATAATGCCTGCACATTTCCTTATGCTCCTCTATTTAAGGGACCTAAATGATCAATGAAGCCAGTGCCAATATTCTGAACTGAGAATATGGTGAGGGCTGTCTTTTCCATCTGGAACCCTTATTGAGAAAGCCATAACTATTTAGGCATTTCCTGTGGGTGAGAACCCTCACTGATATCATAGAATTAGTCGAAGTACCTTTGTCTTTTTTTCATTTTATGAGATTATCAGAAGATGATAGCGTTATTGTGTTGGTGGTAATCTTGCTACCATTTGAAAAACACAACATATAGAACAAACAATACTAGTACAAACATTTAGTTGGAATCATGCTATGGTGAATTTTAGGAGCCTTAAGATTTGGTATTGAGCAAAACGTACTAGAAAAGTAGCAATGGACTAAATGTTGACTGCTGTAGTCAATTTTTAAAAATAATTCTGTCGGTGGATGTGTACATCACTGACTACCCAGCGTTTATTGTCAATCTTTAATTGTCCTTGAGAAGGTGATAGCGAGCTGCTTCATTAAACTGCGGCAACCACATGCAGTAGGTATATCATGTGCTTATGAAGGGTCTTCCACAATTTTAATTCTTTGATTTCAGCACAAATATTTTAATTCATAACAGATATTTGGAAAATGAACTCCTCTACACAAATGCAAAATACATCAGACGTGAATTATGATAAATTACTCTAAATGCTTAAATATGACTGTTTCACTACCTTCTATACTGTATGCGCTGACACATTACAGGCATACATGCTTATATGTATTATTGTTTGGTGTTGATATTGAATCATGACTTAGGCTTATGTTCTCCAAGCTATTAGCAAATGGGTTGCTTATTGTATACCCATTGACAACAGATCACTTCAGTCATAAGATCATCTTTGTTTCTGATTTGATACATACCTGTCCCCAATAAGAGTGTTTCATACTCAGTAACCTTACATTGCCAATTAGCACTATTTTCTATTTGACTGAAACTATGCTGTATCCAATGACAGGCTTTCTTTCTGTACAGTACAAGCAAGTGGAGCAGTACATGTCTTTTCACAAGTTACCTGCTGACTTCCGGCAAAAGATTCATGACTATTATGAGCATCGTTACCAGGGGAAAATGTTTGATGAGGACAATATACTGGGAGAGCTAAATGAACCGCTTAGAGAGGTAAGTTGAAATTATAAGCACCTATGCTTTGTAAACCATTAAGGGTCATCTTACTACTTAATCTGTTAAAACACTCAATTAAATATTGCATGAGTCACTTATGAGGCCAATCTGCAAATAAGTTGAGAAAGAAATTTACCTTGACAGCATCTGGTGCTAAATGAGGCAATGCTGTTGTTAATTTCAACTGCTGACAGTCCAGAGCATTCTAAGATAGCTCTTGTGATAATTTAACAAGACCTGTGCAAAATCCCTGGGGTCCCCTGTTCTCTGTAACTTCCCACAATGCAATGCTATTCGTATCTATCTTGAATGGATGATAAACCAAGTCAACTTTGCCAACTTTGCCTGAGTAGGCCTTTAGTTCTCAATCCAAAATATTGACACAACTGAACTAGCCAGCACACAATTATGATAAGGAAGGGATAAAATAACAGTCTTGAAAATAGTAAAGTAATAACAAATGAGAGGTGAATGCTTGGAATTGCTGGAAACAAGAAAATTGTGAAAATGCGCAGCATGGTGATGAGCTTATGAAAAAGGAAGAGAAATCAACACAAGCTGTTAACCTAATTTTCTCTCTCCATAATTCAGTTGCTATATATTTCCTCTATTTTCTGTTTAACTATTAGCTATTCGAACTTGAATATTTGTATGAGCAAATCTCCACTGCAGCACGAAAATAAGATAGATTTGGTTGCATAATGGATGAACTAATTAAAAATAAGATATTTGGAAAATCAACCTTAATTAATTCACATGAGCTGTCATCTCGGTATATCCTAGATAGGTTTAATTGCAATGGAGAGAGAAAAAAGAAGGATGTGGACATACAATTTGCGTAACAATATATGTCATTATTATTCATAATCCTACTTAAATTAGCTGTGAAAATATTCAGAGATGTCCCAGCAGGTCAAATGCCAAAAGTGAAGTTAGTCGAGTGAAGAGTAAGGCTGGTAAGGGTAAAAAGCAAAAGATGAATAAAATATTGAGGCTCTGGTTAAGAATAAGAAGGAGGCATATGTGAGGTATTGACAACTGAGATCAAGTGAATCTCTTGAATAATATAAGGGGTGTAGGGGCATTCTTAAGAGAGAAATCAGGAGGGCAAAAAGGGAATATGAGATAGCTTTGGCAGATAAGGTTAAGGATAATCCAAAGAGATTCTACAAGTACACCAGAGCAAAAGAGCTAGTAGGGAGAGAATAGATCCCCTTAAAGATCAATGAGATCATCTAAGTCTGGAACCACAGGAGATGGGAGAGATACTAAACAAATATTTTGTGTCAGGCTAGGGAACTTGGGAAAATAAATTTGATGTCTTGAAAACAAGACATCATCGGGGCGGCACGGTGGCACAGTGGTTAGCACTGCTGCCTCACAGTGCCAGGGACCTGGGTTCAGTTTCACCTTCGGGCGACTGTCTGTGTGGAGTTTGCACATTCTCCCTGTGTCGGCGTGGGGTTTCCTCCGGGTGCTCCGGTTTCCTCCCACAGTCCGAAGATGTGCAGGCTAGGTGGATTGGCCATGCTGAATTGCCCATAGTGTTCAGGGATGTGTAGATTAGGTGGGTTATAGGGGGATGTATTTGGGTGGGTGCTCTGAGGGTCTTTGTGGACTTGTTGGGCCAAAGCGCCTGTTTCTACACTGTAGGGATTCTATGAAAACAATCCACATTACAGATGAGGTGCTGGAGGTCTTACAAAAGATAAAGGTAGATAAGTACCTGATAAAGTGTATCCCAGGACATTTTGGGAAATTAGGGAAGAAATTACAGGGCTCCTAGCAGGGATTTTTGTATTATCTACAGCCATGAGTGATCTACTGGAGGACTGGAGGCTGGCTATTAATGTTGTGTCTTTTTTTAAGAAAGGCTGTAAGGAGAAGCCTGGGAACTATAGACTGGTGAATCTGATATTAATGGTGGGTAAGTTGTTGGACTGGATTCTGAGAAATAGGATTTACATGCATTTGGAGAGGCAGGGACTGATTAGAAATAGTCAGCATGGCTTTGTGCATGGGAAATCGTGTCTCACAAACTTGATGACCCATCTCACAATTGTGTCTCACAAACATTTTGAGGATTTAACCAAAAAAATTGGAGAGGGCAGAGTGGTAGACGTTGTCTACATGGACTTTGGTGTGGTAGACTAATTAGTAAAGTCATATCACATGGAATTCAGGGAGAGCTTGCTAATTGGATACAAAATTGGCTTAACAGTAGGAGACAGAGGCTGGTGGTAGACGGTTGTTTTTAACACTGGAGGCCTGTGACCAGTGGTGTTCTGCAGGGATTGGTGCTGAATTCACTGTTGTTTGTCATTTATATAAACGATTTGGATGAGAATTTAGGAGGCATGGTTGGTAAGTTCACCGATGACACCAAAACCAGTGGTATAGCTGACAGTGAAGAAGGTTATGTAAGGATACAAAAGGATCTTGATCAATTGGGTCAATGTGCTGAGGAGTGGCCGATGGCATTTAATTTGGATAAATGCAAGGTATTGCATTTTGGCAAAGCGAACAAGGGCAGGACTTATACAGTTAATGGTAGGGCCCTGGGTAACATTGTCAAACAGAGACCAAGGGGTCGGGATACATAGTTCTTTGGAAGTTCCGTCTCAGGAAGATAGGATGGTTAAGAAGGTGTTTAGCACACTTGCCCTCATTGCTGAAACCATTGAGTACGTCATGGAATGGCTTGGAATGTGATGTTGAGGCTATTCAGGATGCTGTTGAGGCCTCTTTTCAAACAATGTGTACAGTTCTGGTCACCTTGCTATAGGAAAGATATTAATTAATTGGACAGGGTTCAGAAAAGATTTACAAGGATTTACTGGGCATGGAGAGTTTGAGTTTTAAGGAGAGGCTGGGATTTTTTTCACTGGAGCATAGGATGTTGAGGGGTGACGTTATTGAGGTTTATAAAATTATGAGATAAGGTGAATGACAAGGGTCTTTTTCTCTGGGGTGGGGAAGTTCAAAACTAGTGGCATATTTTTTAAGGTGAGAGGAGAAGGATTTAAAAGGGACCTGAGGAGTAAATTTTCACACAGAGTGGCTCATAAGTGGAATGAACTGCCAGAGAAGGTCATAGATGCAGGTGCAGTTGCAACACTTACAAGACATTTGGATAGATAAATAAATAGGAAAGGCTTGGAGGCATATGGGCAGAATTGGGACTAGTTTAGTTTGGGAAACTTGGTTGGCGTAGCTGAGTTCAACTGAAGGGTCTGTTCCTGTGCTGTATGACTCTATAACTCTATAAATATTTGGTTGCTAGGTGATGTGTTGCATGTTGAGCCAAATCACCAATCCAAGGCATTGACATGGTGTTGCACCATCAGTTTTTTATTGCATGGCGAGTCTCTGATTACTGTACTATGACCAGAGTGGAGCCAAAGCATGAAATTTAACTTCTGAGCTTTTCCTCCAAATGTGTCCATGCAAAACCTGGCCAATATTAATGAAAATCAATTCCTGCAGAAACACAAAGTTTGCAGAGGCAAAATTATGGAAAAAAACATTGAGTAAAGGATTATGTGTAACTGAGTAAAAACTTTGTCATCCATTCAGGAAAACAAACTTATATTGCCTGGTTTAAATTAAAGTGATGGCTGTTTGAAAAATTGAACTATGCATCTGAAAAAAAGAGCGAGGTTTTAATGCTTGTGTGTAAATTTTGATCTGCTAATCTGTGGACCGCTGACTATCTCTAAGATAATGTAGGCTAATAAGGATAGTTGCTGGATGTGGAGACCAGTGATGCCTCAGGAATTATAACACAAATTAAGTAGAACGTCAAGTATGGAGTAGATCATTTGCCACTGGAATAATTGTCTGTGTTCATGTTATTTCTGTGATACAGCAGGCACAACATGAGTTGACTTAATTGTCACTATTCTAATGATGGGAGTAATAAGGCTTATTTGTACTTTATTTTTATATCCAGGAAATAGTGAATTTTAACTGCCGGAAACTGGTAGCCTCTATGCCACTTTTTGCCAACGCGGACCCGATTTTTGTGACAGCAATGCTGACCAAGCTGAAGTTTGAAGTTTTCCAACCTGGAGATTACATCATCCGTGAGGGGACGATTGGAAAAAAGATGTATTTTATCCAGCATGGTGTGGTTAGTGTCCACACAAAGGGCAACAAGGAAATGAAACTGTCAGATGGCTCATATTTTGGAGGTTAGTCTCTAATTTTATTCTTGCTTTTTGGGGCTACCAAATGAATTGCATCTCATTGGTGTGTTAATGCACTGTTTTAGCCCTGGTTACATCCTGATTGGAATTTGTGTTGTACAGTCAGTATTCCATGTTGCTCAATGACTATGCCACATAAACAGCCCTAAATCCGTAATTCGTCCATATTTGTTTGTATAATTTACCCTGTTGCTTTTTGATCAAAAAAGGATGTAAATTTGGACAAACGAAACCGTTCCTAGTACTTATTGTTAGTGAAATTTTCACTGGGTCACTCAAGAAAAGTGTGGAGTTTCTTCATGAAGAAAGCACAGTAATCACTTTGTTATTTCTTTGGAGTTTTGTAAGACCTTAAACAAAATGTATCCCCAAGGCATGCATTTACTGAATAACAAGACACCTATGTAGATATTTCAGTTGCTTGTCAGCAGCAACAAAAATGGCTTTTGAAGAACCCTTAAATTGCTAAGGGTTAGATTTTCATCTTAACAACCTTAGTGCCGTAAAATTCCCGAACAAAGCACAGGAAGGAGAATCTGACATTGGTTTGACAGAACTCTTGGATTTTTGCGTGATTAGCTGGTGAAGACAAAAATAAAATCTGCTGGTTTTTGTTTTATTGATAGTGAAAGACGAAGTAGTGACATTTCCATTTCTGATGAATCTTGAAACTATATTCCACTAATTATGCTAACCAACAAATGCTAAGTGATAAAATGCTAATTTAATCCTAGAAATTAATGATTGTGTGATTTTCTCAAACAGAACATTGCCAATGTTCGTACTTGTAGGGGAGAATTTTCCCTTCCCTGTACACAGTGAGAGGGGTAACAATTAGGTGAGTTGGCACTGGACGGATAATCACATCCTTTTCAGCACCCCACCAATTAGGTGCTAAGTGAGAGGTCTGTTGTGGGCTTTGATGACTGTGACTGCAGGTGCTTTCAGCAGATTCTGCCTAAAGTGCTTTGAAAATAATTGTTTTGACAACTGAGGGCATCGGTTAGGATGAAAATATTGCTTAAAATAAACCTAATCTGAGTGCAAAAGAGGTCAAAATCTTTCAAAAGTAATTTAACATGACACACTCAGCAGTACGTGCAACACCTCAACAGAGTCAAAAGCATTTGTGAAAAGCATTCATTTTTGGTTATTAAGGTGTTAGGACATGGGTTTCTGTGTTTCTGAAAATGCTGGTGCTTGCTTCAAAACATTAACATCTTGTGACTTTTGTTGGTGTCACAAACTGGCAATGACAAGTGAATGAGTCACACGACTGGGCATAGCCAGAACCATTCAGTGCAAAAGTGGTTGCTATCTGTGTTCAAGGATCGTAACTACCCCCCTTCGGTGGTTGAAAATGCCCTCAACCACATCTCTTGCATTTCCCGCACCTCTGCCCTCACATCCCCACCCCCGAAACAAAAATAAGGACAGAATCCCCCTTGTCCTCACATATCACCCCGCCAACCTCCGCATCCGATGTATTATTCTCCGCCACCTCTGCCAACTGCAATCCGACCCCACAACCAAAGGTATATTTCCCTCCCCACCCCTCTCTGCCTTTCATAGGGACCGCGCTCTCCACGACTCCCTCGTCTGCTCCACACTCCCAACTAGCCTCACCACCCCTGGCACCTTTCACTGCAACCGCAGGAGGTGCTACACCTGCCCCATACCTTCCCCCTTACCTCTATTCAACATACAAAACAAACCTTCCATGTTAGACAGGGGTTCACCTGCACATCTGTCAACTTGGTCTACTGCGTCTGCTGCTCCTGATGTGGCTTCCTCTACATTGGTGAGACCAAGCGGAGGCTTGGACAGTGTTCTGTAGAGCATCTGCGCACTGTTCGCAACAAACGACAACACCTTCCGGTTGCGAAACATTTTAAGGCCCTCGCCCACTCCCTGGGTGACATGTCCATCCTGTGTCACAATGACGCCACCCGCAAACTGGAGGAGCAGCACCTCATTCAGCCTTGGGAGCCTACAGCCCAATGGTCTCAATGTGGACTTTACCCGTTTCAAAATCTTCCCATTCCCGGCCTCATCCCATGAGCAACCCTCCCTCTCATCCCCGCCTCCTTGACTTGACACGCCTGTCCATCTTCTCTGTCACCTATCCGCCCCCACCTCACTGACCAATCCCCACCGCTCTCTGCCTGCACTCACCTATCACCGTCCCACCTACCTTCCCCAGCCCCACCCCTCCTCTCTCTCTTTATTTCTGAGCTCCCTTCCCCCTCCCCATTTCTGAAGACCCAAAACATCAACTTTCCTGCTCTTCTGATGCTGCCTGGCCTGCTGTGTTCCTCCAGCTCCACACTGTGTTATATCTGTTATCCATGTTCTGTCTGCTTGTACTCAATAATCTTTTTTTTTCCACTTGGCACTAGTTGCCGCTTGGTTGCAACTGGTGCAAAGCCAACTCTTTGCTCCACTTCCACTGTGCTTAATCATTTATTCATGACTTTGGTGTGCCTCAGGAATACTAATCTATACTTGTGAGAAATTTCCATAAGTCTTCCAACAGCCTGCCTGATAAATCACATCTTCAAATTTAAAAGATAAATTATTATGTTTAGTTTCAACTATTGATGTTTATTGATTATTTGGAGTCATCCTCTTGCTGACTTGAACTTGAGTACTAACCAGACTAAGATTTCATAATCTTATTGCAAAGTCAAATTAGAGTCAGAGTAAAAAGAATAGTAATACTATTGTTTCATTGATTTCCTCCATTTAAAAGAAAGTATTCATGACTGTATTCAGACAAATAATAATTCCTCACCTGTTTGACAAAATATTTACAATAGTGTAACAGCCATTCTGCCCACAAGGTCCACGCTAGTATTTATTCTTCAAACATTCCTCTTCTCATTTTCGCCTAACCCAATCAACATAATCTTCTACATCTTTCTCACTCATGTCTATCTAGCTTAGTCTCAAATGTTAATCTCAGCTGTTCCCTATGGTTGTGATTTCCATATTGTAGCCACTGTTCAGGTGGAGAAGCTTGCCCCCAAATTCTGTACTGTGTTTATTATTGACATCTTATATTTACTGCCTCAGGTTGAGTTCTTAACAGCAAATGGAAACACTTTCTGTATTGTCAGTTGGATTCACACTGTGGTGCACACTTGTGTACTCGAAGGTCACCTTTTTTAATGCACAGACAGAAAGAACATGTACACACACTGAACCTGTTACAAAACAAAACCAGTGACAATATTCTCAGGTTCATTGTACAAATCAATACTTTGTCTAATCAGACTCAATGGGTCTTTAAACAAAGCTTGACAGTTAACTGTCAATCATCATCTAATTGGTGTATTCTCCACTGCCTCTACCAATCAGAGTCCACTTGCCAACCAACTTGCACACTCCTCTCAGACAGATATATGTTGTTTTCTCCATAAGTTGGTATTCTGTAAAAAAAGACCTTCCCATTAAAAGGCATCTGGATGGCTACATGAATATGAAGCGTTTAGAGGGATTGGGGCCAAATGGGACTATATTAATTTAGAATATCTGGTCGGCATAGACGAGTTAGACTAAAGGGTCTTTATCCATGCTGTACATCTGTATGACTCTCTATGACTCTATAATGTCCTTTTTCAGCAGTAACCTTTGAGTTAAAAAAGTTACATCAACAAACATAATTAGTTGTAAACAGTTATACCAACACCCATGTGCTATGTCAATGTATGCATTGTAGTTCATACTGGAATCAATTATTGAAGGATCATTGGAAATAAATTGTAAGAATTTTCCTTTCCCATATCTAACATATCCTTTCCCATATCTGCTGAAAACAATCCAAGAATTTTTTCACAAGGATAAAGAGTCTTGCCAAAGCTGAAACATTTACAGGCCATTATTTGGTCAATGAATTTTAGGGGGGAGAAATCAGATTTGTCACACTGGTGCCAGAAGCACGAGACACACTATTTCTTTAGGTTGTTACTAATGGCTGAAGAGAGAGAATTTAGTAAAGAAAACATTGTCTATGTTTGGTGTCAACCTGCAAGCAACCAGAACGTCAGGTCACCATATAAATACAGAGACTATTCCTTTCAAATTCCTTCTACTTTATCAGAATCTGATGGGCTTCACATACAGATCAGTTTTGATCACATTGCTCAAGGAGCTGCATGATCCATTCCTGTTCCTGAGAACATACTGCCAGCAATATTCAAAAGTCATTCAAACACAATGGTACCATTAGAAAGGTGTACCCTTCTCATAACATAGATTTGCGCAATGGCTGGTTTATGGTTGCATTTGCAAGCTACAACTATGATCAGCTTACAATTTACTATTCTAATTTGCAGAAATCTGTTTATTGACAAGAGGCAGGCGAACCGCCAGTGTTCGTGCTGATACCTACTGTCGTCTGTATTCTCTCTCTGTGGATCATTTTAATGAGGTATTGGAAGAATACCCCATGATGCGAAGAGCCTTTGAAACTGTGGCCATCGACAGACTGGATAGAATAGGTATGCATAGTATCCTTATAACACTCCTAAACATTATCTCTTCTATCTTCTAACTATAATTCACCCTAAAGGTCCGGATTTTTTTTTTATACTGTACTGAAAGATTAGTAATTACTTGGTGCAGTTAGATGTCTGTTTGGAGCTATGCCCTTCAAAATTGTATGTATCCTAGCAACAGACAGCCTGTCATAGATAAACTACAATTCTTTACAAGGAAGTAATCCTCTTATGCCACATCATTTTTCAATAAATTATTGAATGTATATACATTATTAAGTATTGCATAACATTGAGTATTATTCCGCATGATAGAAGCACCATGTAATTACTTTGGTACTGAATATTGTAGTACTTAATGCAATATAAATTGTGAATAAATGTAAAACAATTATTAGTTGAATTACTTTTCGTAGAAGTGAACGAGAGCATGGAAAACTGAATAGTGATATTCACTGATTAGCTGATGAAATCTTACGTAAGGTTTGCTATTTTCTAGCCTATTTCATTACTAATTGACTCTCTAAGTCTCTGCATCCATTTCTGTGGATTTAGAATGAATCATTAACTAGACAAGATCAGTAATTTACAATGCAAGGTGAATTTATTTGGTAAAGATTGCATTAATTAATATGTTTTAATCCCTTCACAAACAAAGAATTATTAACATAGGCTTTTCAACATAATATTATCATTGTCTTATACGCCGCTATATCGATTTTCTTACTCCTGAAATAAGTTATCACATAACTTAAAACAATCAATTCAAAGTTTGCAACATCAGTGATTGTTTTTCTTTTATTCTTCATTTGAAAGATCACTTCTGAATTTCACACTAATCTTCATGAATTTATTATACCATTATCAAATATGCGCAGTTGTAGGCCATTCAGTCCTTTGTGCCTGCTCCATCATTCAATGAAGCCATGGCTGATCCATTTGAATTTAAACTTCCATAATCCCATTTATTCCCCATAATCTTTGACTCCCTTACCTAATAATAACTAATGGAGTTCTGCTTACAAGTCAGGGCGTTCTAAAATTGCACACCTTTCTGAGAGAAAACATTTTTTCTCATCTGTGCCCAGTTTATAAACATTGTGCCCAAGTTCTCAACTCAGCCTCAAGAGGAAACATCTTTTGCCAATCCACCTTATAAAGACCATTCAGTCAATTTACTGCCACACTCTTCTAAAGTCCAGTGCAATCAAGCCGATTCTGTCCAAGCTTTCCTCAGAGAACTTGTTCATTTGAGGTATCAATGCATCCTCTGATCTGCCTCCAACACATTTACATGCTGCCTCTCAAATAGGGGTCCAAAGCCGCACATAGTATTTGAGATAGCAGGAACTGCAGATGCTGGAGAATCCGAGACAACAAAGTGCAGAGCTGGATGAACACAGCAGGCCAAGCAGCATCATAGGAGCAGAAAGGCTGACGTTTCGGGCCTAGACCCTTCATCAGAAATGGGGGAGGGGAAGGGGGTTCTGAAATAAATAGGGAGAGAGGGGGAGGCGGATAGAAGATGGATAGAGGAGAAGATAGGTGGAGAGGAAACAGACAGGTCGGCTTCGCAGTGAGGTTAAAATTGAATCAGAGATAGCAGCGCAGTGAGGTTAAAATCTTCTATCCGCCTCCCCCTCTCTCCCTATTTATTTCAGAACCTCCTTCCCCTCCCCCATTTCTGATGAAGGGTCTAGGCCCGAAATGTCAGCCTTTCTGCTCCTATGATGCTGCTCGGCCTGCTGTGTTCATCCAGCTCTGCACCTTGTTGTCATAGTATTTGAGATATGGTTTTACCGATGTCATCTATGACAGAAACATACCATGCTTACATTTGCATTCAATTCCTCTCATCATAAAGGATACCATTTCATTATCTGCTTTATCACTTGCTGTACTTACATTTTGTGACTTAAGCATGAGAACACCTAGATTCGGAATTCTCTACTTTTCCATTTTTCTTAACAAAGTGAACAACTTCACATTTTCCCACATCATACTCCATCTGGTAGACTTTTACCCACTTATTTAACATATCTATACCTGTCTGCATCCTCCTTTAGATACCATGCCTTTGTTCCCCTTGTCTAAGTCATTGATAGAGATTATAAAAGAAACTGAGGCCCCAGCACAAACCCCTGCAGGACTCCATTTATTATGTCCCACCAACAGATGAAGACCTACTTAATAATACTCTCTACTTTCTGCCAGCCAGCCAATCCTATATGTATGCTAGTATGTTAAACGATACACTCCTACATTGAGCAATAACCTTTTATGTAGTGCTTTTTCAAAGCCCTTCTGGAAATCCAAGTCCAGTGGAGCTGCAGACTCCCCTTTATCCACAGCGCATGTTACTCCCTCAAAGAACTCCAATAAGTTGACTGAACCTTTCCAAAATCAAGCCAAATTAACATCAACACATCTACTAGCTCATAAGACACGTATTTTAAGACCCTGGGATGAAGTCTTTCAGGACCTGAAGGCTTGTCAACCTGCAGCTCCATCAGTCTGCACAGTACAGTTCCCTAGTGTTTTTAATTTCAGCCAATTCTTCTCTCCCTTTCATCTCCCGATCTATAGATATTACTGAAATGTTTTTCATTACCTCTATAGTGACGACAGAAGCAAAATATTTGTTTATTTTTCTGCTACTTCTTTATTTAATTCTCCAGAGGATCAATACTTACCTTTGTTTCCTTTTATATATTTTTGGAAACTTGGATATCCAATTTTACATTTCTAGCTAGCTTCCTCTCTTTATAATTTTTTCTCCTGATGTATCTTTTAGTCATTCGCTGACATTCTTATATTAAGACCAAACATTGGACCTACCACTCATCTTTGCCCAATTATTCTTTTTCCTTAAGTTTGACGCTCTTTTTAGTGTCTTGAAGTAACCATGGATGGTGCATCCTCCCTTTAGAATTTCTAAGTATTGCAGGATATATTTATTCTGAGTATTCTGAAATATCCTAACCCTATCCCTTCATTGTCTTGCACTGCCTCTCTATTGATTTATCCCCTAGTCTAGTATCCAGTTCACATCAGCTAGGTCAACTTTCATGCCTACCTAGTTACTCTTATTTAAATTTTTAAAAACTAGTCTTAGACCTACATTTCAAACTGAATGTAAAATTCAGTCATTTTGTGTTTGTTGTTATCTAGGGGTGCCTTTACTCTGAGGCAGTTCATTATTCCTGTAACATTATGCAGTGTTATATTTAATATAATCTGCTTTCTGTTTGGATTGCAGAAGGTGCTACGCTAAGAAACTATCTAGATCTCATTCTATGAACTCATTCAGTCTACTCTTGCCAATCTGGTTTTTACAGTTTGTAGACAAATTAAAATCCCTTGTGATTATTGCCATCCCTTTATTACCAGCACCCAATATTTCTTCTTTTATGTACTTGATCCTACTTTGAGGTTACTGTTAGAAGGCATTTAGACTACTCCTACTAGTAACCTCTTTCTCCAACTTTTCCTCATTTCCACCCAAACTGATTCTACATCTGATCTGAGTCAAGGTCATTTTTAACTGTTGTGCCAATGCAATCCTTAATTAACAGTGTTACCCCTCCACCATTATTTAACTCTACTAGAAAGTTCTACTTGAATGCCTTATACCGTTCAACATTCAGAACCCAATCTTTGCCAACATGCATCTACATCTCCTAATGCCATCAGATCAAATTTATTTACATCAATATGTACTGACAATTATTTTACTTTTTTTAATGAATGCTATGCACATTCAGATATAGAGCAAAAACAAAACAAAGAACTATGAATGCCGGAGATCTGAAACAAAAACTGAAAGTATTAGAGAAACTCAGCAGGTCCGGTAGCACCTGGAGAGAAAAACAGAGTTAGCAATTCGAGTCCAGTGACCCTTTATTAGAACTCTACCCCTTGATTTGTTGCATCTACCCAAGCTTCATCCCTTACTCCCATTGTTTAGTTTAAGGCCCTGTTTACTTCCCTAGTTGTGTGGTTTGCTAGGACACTAGTTTCAGCACAGTTCCAAACTGTCCCACCAGTACAGTCCCCACTTTCCACATACTGAAGTCACTGCCCCTTGACCTGGTGAACCACGTATTCACTTCAATAATCTTATGTACCATCTGTCAATTGGCAAGTGGCTCAGGTAATAATGCAGACATTATTATCCTTGAGGTTCTGTCTTTTTAATTTTTTCCCTAACTCCTCATATTGTGAACAGAGCATCCTACCTTATCCTGGCAATATTATTAGCATCTATATGGATCATGATCACTCCAAGCTTCTGTCCAGCCCTGAGCAGATGTCCCAAAATGCTGGCATGGAGTAGGAAAAATAGCTTTCTGCACTCATGCTCTTCATTGCACAGAATAGTCTCTATCCCCCTCACTACAATACCTCCTACTACCACACATTCCTTTTTTGCTCACCAATTTGAATGGCTTCCTGTGCCACAGTGCCTACCTCATCCACCCTGCAGCCCTCATGCTTATCTAACCAAGCAGAAAGAATGTCAAACCTGTCAGATCATTGCTAGGCTCCTGCCATCCTGCCCTCTGTACCTCCTCTCCTGCTTCATTCGCAGTCTCAGCCTTCTTTCCCTGACCACTGACCACGTCAGAAGTCCCTACCCTAAGGGGTGTGACCACCTCCCAGAACGAACTATCCAAGTAATGTACCCCCTCCCTGATTTGTTGCAATGTCAGTTGTTCATAAACTCTGAGCCAAAGTTACTTGAGCTGTAACCATTTACTACAGACATGTTTGTCCCCGGATTACACTGGCTGTATGGAGTTCCCATCTGCTAAGTCTGTGACCAGTTCTGCCATCCTTCATGCGTCTCTTTGATTTAATGTATTTGTTCCGCTTCTGAATAATTAATACACTTCTTTGTTTCCCTCTCTCATCTATTTTGTTAACTGTACCACCTGTAGGTTTAATAATCTAATGAAACAATTTGTAAAAATGAATTTGAATCCATTTATCAAATAGAAACCAGCAAGTGTTTTTGAGTATAACAAAAACCTCCAGGAGCTTTGTCGAATTTGTA